GGGGGGGGGGAGAGAATGCTCCCTCTGAAACACCCGAGTCGCCGCCAGTTAATCCCTGCCTTCCCCCGTCTGGCATCCCCAGTCTGGAAGTTCCCGGAGGACAGCACCAGGGCGCCCCTATTCCCTGCAAGAGCGGGAGCAGGAATCACTTACAGCCCACACTGGCGGAAGCATCTGGGCTCCCCAAGTCACTTTGTGGCTTTTGCTTTTTCTGTTCTTTCCTTTTTTTGCGTTGGGAGTCTCCCTCTGTCGCCCAGGCTGGAGCGCAGGGATACACTCATAGTCACCCTGCGTCGACCTGCTGGGCTCCGGCTATCTTTCTGCCTCAACCCTCCAAGTAACCGGACTACAGGCACATGCTACCACACCCGGCTAATTTTTTGATCTATTGTAGAGACAGGGTCTCGCCAAGTTGCCCGGGCTGGTCTCCAACCCGCGGGCTCAGGCGATCCACTCACCTCGGCCTCCCAAAGTGCTCGGATGACAGGCTGAGCCACTAAGCCCAGCTTCATTGCACCTTTTCTAAGGAACCCCACTTTTTTTTTTGGTTGGGGTTTCACTTTCACCCAGGCTCGAGGGCAGTGGTACGATCATGGCTTAATGCAGCCTCGACTTCCTGGGCTCAGGCAATCTTTCTCCCTCAGCCTCTTGAGTAGCTGGGACTACAGGCATGTGACACACATGTGCCACCACGCCTGGCTAGTTTTTTGATTTTTTTGTAGAGACGAGGTCTTGCCAAGTTGCCTGGGCTGGTTTTGAACCCACGGGCTCACACAATCCACTCGCCATGGCCTTCCGAAGTGTTGGGATTACAGGCTTGAGCCACCACACCTGGCCTTTTGTTTTTTCTTAAGCCAGGTCTCACTCTGTAGCCTTGACCTCCTGGGCTCAGGCGATTCTCCTGCCTCAGCTTTCCAAGTAGCTGGAACTACAAGTGCATCACCACACCTGGATGATTTTTCTATTTTTTATAGAGACGGGGTCTCGCTTTGTTGCCTAGGCTGGCCTTGAACTCCTAGCAAGCGATCCTCCTGCCTTGGCCTCCCAAAGTGCTGGGATTACAGGCATAAGCCCGACCCCAACACCTTCTTACACAGGTCTTCACTTAGTTCAGGAAGTGGAAAATGAAGTTACTGATTAACAAAATGCTTTTTAAAAAATTGTTTTTAAGAGGAGGTAGAGAGGAGGAGGGAGCAGGAGGCTGGCCCTAGGATCGTGATAGATGTAGCCTCAAACTCAACGGACCACAAAAAAAAACGCAAGGTCTACCCCTGACCGGGAAGACATGAGACCAGTGTGGACAAGGGGACCCAATCATACCTCCGCTCTACACTGCCAAGGTCTTGGCAAATGTTAAGAATTGTAATGGCACCCAACAATGTGTATTTTTTTTTTTTTTTGAGTTGGAGTCTCACTCTGTTGCCCAGACTGGAGTGCAGTGGCAGCTCCCGGCCACCGCAGCCTCAACCTGCTGGGCTCCGGCGATCCTTCCCCCTCAGCTG